ATATTTCATATTTACATTGGTCTATAATCAAAACGCATTAATAAAAAAAATTTCACATTGAAAATAAATATGATACATGTATATATAAATTGTTTTTGCTCTTATTAATTTGTTTTGATTACGATTATACGAAATGTATTAATAATCAGTCACATAGAACGATACTCTATTTACAGTCTTTACTGCGTCCATTATTTTTTCTTGTTTTTCTTTTTTTTCTTTTACTATATAAAACATAATAGATTTTCTGATTTCAGAATCAAATTTCCATTTTTTACACGTCACATTATTGCTTGTAGCAGCATATTATATATTAACACGAGAATAGTATTCTCTTTCCCTGGGTTTTGAAACTTATTTATAATACATAATTATATTTTATTTTTTATACAATCCTCGGTTGAAGTTATTTACAATTCATCATGCAATGGTATCTCAATGATTACCATAAGTCTTTCGACCAACATTATTTGTTGATTGATTAACGAGATACTATCCTCATCAACATATTTGCTTAAGTCTTCGTAAAAATCTACCAAGTCATTAATAGTATCTAGAATCTCATGTTGATTCTTGTGAAATTCTTTTTTACATATGGTACTAACCCTTATCATATTTTCAATAATAACTTCTAGTAATTCATAATTCTCAATTATGGTTGGATCGTCAAGCTCTTGCTTAAAAATTCTTATCATTAAATTCATTACATTTTTACAATATCCATGAATTATTAATCTATTTCTAAAAGCAGTCACAGCATATTCGTCTGTTGTATTATCATCATATTCTTCAGGTTCAGCAGCATATCCTATATCTTGTCTTTCAATGATCAAGTCATTGACAAGTCTCATAACTCGGATTTTTGATTCAAAATCTTCGTCTTCTTCGATCAAGATTTTAACAAATAATTCTAGACCTCCATAATCGAGAAATGATTTTTGAGCTTCAGGAAAATTTCGTATTAAGGCACTCAATGCGTAAAGACATCTAGTCTTCACTAAATGTTTCGTAGTTATCCATAACAATCGTAGAACCTTTTGTATTAGACCTGCTTCTAACGCTTTATCTTGTACTTCTGGATTTAATTGAGCGGCAGCGCCTAAAAGCTTTAAAGCTTCAGCTTTTATATTACTATATGTACTGTTCAAACACGGTATTACGATCTTAGTTAACCTGTAAATTTTTAACAAATAATGAGCTTTCTTTTTTACATTTAAATTTAACACGTTTAAGCAACGTCGATTTGTAATAACTGACAGTTAACTTTTGAACAGAAACAGCTCCGTGCTCAATGTATTAGTAGAAAGTGAAGGAGAAAAAAGAATAAAATTAAATAAAATATTACTTACCCTCCCATATTAGCAAATAAACGGCCATTGTCGACATGATGAATTATGTATTCTAAAGCATTAAGAGTTTCCAAAATGATTGCAATATCTTTATCTAGTAAACGTGATTTACTCATGGTGTCTTTAAATATTTGAAATTTTTTAAATAAGGCATCAAAAAGTTGTTTATCTGATTCAAGAACCATATCACTAGTTGAAAGTTTGTACGGCAATTTCTTAATGAATTTAGGTGCGTTATCAAAGTTATTTTTTACATTTGGAACCTGAAAAATAGAAATCAAAATACAAATATTATAACGCCGTTAAAAAAGATAAAATGTATATAAACTTTCAATTTATTTAATTATCGAGAAAAATATTTTTAATTACTTTCGTATCAGGTGACTTATTATCAGTTTTCTCACTTTCTCTCATTTTCAATAAATTTCTTATGGTATCAGTGGAAATCTCTACATCATCTAAATTTTCTTTTATCAAAGGATCATCCTCTTCCGATTTAATTACTTCATCCGGATGTAATATTAAAGATCTTGAAGTGTTACTATCATTTAAATCTTTATCCTCCTTTTTTTCCTGATCCATTAATTTAGCTTCAACAAGTCCAGTTTGCATATTATATCTTATATGTAGTCCTTTCGGTAACGCTAAGCCTTTAACACAAATTTTATTTCATATTAGTTATTTATTTTATTAAAATATATATCATTATATCATATTATATTGGTCTCTCATATTATTATTTATAATTATATTATAATAATATATTTAGATAAAATCAAATAAAAAAGAGAAGAAAGAAATTGTTTATTATACATTATTAAATGACAATCAAGTAGAATAAAGGAAAGAAAAAAATTTGAATTTGAATCTACATTATAGTGTTTTTGTTACCACGATAAATTATCGAACGATCAATTTAACTGACGTGGTCTTACGATATATCTTATCATACCACATTATATTATATCACATAACACAACAAACATTTATATCAATTATCAATAATACCTTTTTTAACAATTTGCCATTCATTTGTTGCTACGAAAACACTTTCGTTTTTTTCCGAATAAGCGAAAATAAATAAATGGAAATAAAAGAGAAATACGTAAAGGTTTTTATCGGCACGCATTTTGATGAATTCAAAAGAGTTGAGATAAAATTTGTTAATCTGTCAAATAAATTAATTTTCAAATATTTTGTTTAACAATTCTATGTCGATATGAAAATATTTAATCACACTTTAACAATCAAATTTAATTTTCCCACTAATTCTTTATATCGTTTGTACACGTTTTGAACAGGTGCTAAAGATGAACCTAACTTAACTACTGAACTCTTGATTATTTTCTGTAACGCTACGTTGCGCTAGTGTCACTTATTTTATAATACAAAAATTCGACATTGAATAAACGTTGACCTTCGATCATCCAAATATCTACATACACAATACTAATGTATGATCTTTAATTAAATCTTTTTTCAATATGTTAATATTTAGTTAGATTTATTCGATTTAAAAAAGAAAAATTCACTTCACAATTATTAAAGTATTTAATTTAAACGAATAACGAAATAATCGAATTAATCGAATGTTACGAAGGCTATTGAATAATCAGATTCATGACAAGCGTAATCTACCTCAATTTTGTATAATTTAATAGCACTGCTATCTATTGATTCGAAAGTGAACTATAATGCAACATGGAATTTTAATTACTAGCAACTAGGGTTTTTGGATGTTACATTTCCGATTAAAATAACTATAATTCCGGAAATGCGTTTATTGTAAATGTACTTTAAGTTGGTAGATAGTGATGCAACCATTTTCCATTACTATTTTCTGTTTCTGTATCACGTTTTTTTCATAAGAACCTCAGATATTTTTAGGAATTGATTGGAAGTAAACCATTTAAAAAAATGAATTGTGTGGTAAGAAATTTACTTCGTGGTTCTGCGATTAGAAATATTTTATCCTCAACTTCTAACAATGTTTCAACGAGTAGCAATTTATATAGAACGTTGTGGAACATGTGCAACCGGCAAAACGATGCTGTAGTATCGTTAACTGTTCCAAAGGTTCACAGTTTTCTAAATTATAGTTATGAAAGTAAAAGAAATGCTCATACCAAAGGTATAGTCAAAATTTGTTTCAATGCGTATAAGTTTATTTATTGTATGATAATTTTCATTTATTAATTGATATTTAATTTTTTTTATATGAAATAATATTATATTGTTAAGTAAAAATATATTTATTATTTTTATTATCAGCGGAGAAAGAATTAGTAGAGTTCCTAGCTGAAGAAATAGTTGCAGAGAAGAAAGCGCAGAAGTTGAAAACAATTCCAACAGAATTAAATGGTTTCAAAGTATCACTGGACAGTGCTGAAGTTACTCTTGAGAAGAAAGATAAAGGCGAAGAGTAAGATTAATATAAAATTTAACATACGATGTATAAACAGGTTGTCCTGGTTAATTGTTCATGTAAAATTATCCCATGTATGCTTGTACCAACAATTACAGGACATCCTGCATATATAATAACTTTATAAATTCTTAATTTCTAATACTAGTATATAATAATTTCATTTTACTTTTCAACACAGAATAATAGTTTCTTTCAATATAAATCATACGGTTGACAACAATACTGAACCCGAAATTGATCCTCAAAGCGATCAAGCAGATATCGGCGAAATGAAAAGCAAACCATCATTTACTGTAGATATAATTAAAGGAAATCAAACTCTAGGATTTACATGTTCATTTAACACTGAACCAGGAGCATCCGGTGCTGATGATAGTTATAGTAAGTATTAATTGCTTATAGTTTGAATGAATTAATATATTCAAAGATTGTGTGATATATAACCAAAGCGTTGAGTACAAAATGATGGTTTAAATCATTTTGAAAATTATCCTTTGGAAAATTAAATACATTCTTATTAATTATTATTTCTAACCATTTGTTATATGAAATATATAAATGAGAATGTAACACTGCTATTACATGATAGTATAAAAATTTGCATTCATTACTTTTTTATTTTTTTAATAAGATAAATGTTATATATTTCATTGATATTTTTCAGATGACATTTTTGGTATCGATGAAATTACTTTTTACGAAGGAGAACATAGTGATAAAGTTTATGCAGTTGCTGGTGAAATTATTGATGGTGTTAGTATCCTTTGTACTGTGGAATTTAATACTTTGCTTTCACAAATTTATATGATTCTATTATTCTTTTCTCTTTTTGTAGTATCTATATGACCTCTTGATGAATTATCTCGAAGAGAAAGGTATTTCTAATGAATTCGCTGAAAAAATCATCGAACTTAGTACAAATTATGAACATACGGCATATGTTAGTTTATTAGAAGGACTTTCCAAATTTACCTCTAGTAAATAAGTTTCTACATTCTATCATTGCATTATTATTTTTACTTTCTAATAGAACAATGTAATCGTCATGGTAATATCTTAAGTATTGTTAATGTCATAATTTTACATATAGTATATGTAAAAAAAGTCAATTTTTTTTGTAGACTTCCGTATTTATCAAGCAAATATAAATAACATCATCTCGTTGAAATATTTATAAAATAGTTTATCCAAGTTTTATTTCATGTTCTTACCATTATAATTGTATAGTAACAATAATATACAAAGTATAATAAAAAATGCTATCTGATAATTTATCTTTCTAAATAATAGTAGGCAAAGTATTGTATATGTAATCTTAAAATGATATAGAAATTTAATTATTTGTTCATACATATTGAAAACAGAAATAGAATTCAAACAGATTGAATTTAAAGAATTAAAAATTCATTAGACTCTATTTTTCTTTCCATTTATCTTACATTATCCTTCCAATCTTTACAAATAATTAAATATATCATACGCGTATATATATATATAGTCACACATTTTTTATATATATAATTA